AGAGAGAGAGAGAGAGAGAGAGAGAGAGAGAGAGAGAGAGAGAGAGAGAGATTGGAGAGGCGGAGTGAGAAAGCGAGGCAGGGGGGACAGAGCGAATAATGTCAAAAGGGAAGAGAAGAGAGAGCGAGAGAGGGGAGGTGCGCAGAGAGGTAGAGTGAGTAAAAGAGGGACAAAGGAAGAGAAGGGGAGAAAGTGTTCACGCATAGAGACTAAGAGAGTGAAAGGAAGAGAGAGATACACTTGAAAAACGACCTATCTGCAAATAGTCTTACTGTGAAGCTTTTCACTTGGCTGGACTAAATAGAAAAAGGGAATCAACCCCCCCCCTTACCTGCCACTTCATTGTTTGTTTGTGTACTCTTCATTTGAAAGTYGGTCAAATTTAGTGCCTTGTTCAACACTCGGTTCTTTTATTTAATTGWATTATCCTGTTCCTCTCTTTTAACGGACTGCCCTGAAGCACAAGAGTAAAGCACTCCTGATCAGATTTCACGTGGATTCCAAGATATCTTGAAGGAAACAGCATTTGAACTAAACAATGTAATTTGTTTAAAACAAGACGGGTGACAGACAACACACAAAAGGCTTTCCTGCTGGTCGCTGAGGACCTCGGAAGCGGGCACGGCGAGTGACAGGCGCCGTTGCCCTTGGCTTCAGCGACAAGTGGGCGCCCCTCCCCGGGTTTCCTAACAACGGGCCGATGACTCGTGCTTACTAGGCATTCCTCGTTCAAGATCGACAATTACAACAATCTACCCCTGTCACGATGAACCTTAAGAAGCTTACCCGGGCCTTTCGACCCAGGCAAGCGACTCGTTGGACTCATCGGTGTAGCGAGCGTGCAACTCAGGTATGCAACCCCCCCCCTATTCGTACACAACCGAGTTTTCATTCATGACCAAGTAATAATAATAATAATAATAATAATAATAATAATAATAATAATAATAATAGTAATAATAATAATAACCAATAATAATAATAATAATAATAATAATAATAATAATAATAATAATAATAACCCTAATAATAATAATAATGGTAATTAGTAAATAAAACTAAAGTATACTACTCATCTTTTTGGTCAGGTACGGTTACGTAGTAAGTCGCTGTGGCTCCACTCACACCCACACGCACACATCCTCGTGCACACACGCTCGTGCTCACGTACACATTCGCGCAACCAGACCAATAAGCGTGGCAGTGTATCTTTCCATGTCCTCACGGTATAACCTATCTAGCCTAGGCTACAAAGCCGACCGATGACATCAACAGCATTCCCGAAGTACGTGCATATGACGACCAATGTCGCACGCTTCTCGCCCCAGGTATGTCTCTCTTCTCTCTCACCTCCTCATTCCCCCATCACACAGATGCCACGTGTCCCCCTGGATCACCATGCATCTGAAAATAATAATAATAATAATAATAATAATAATAATAATAATAATAATAATAACAATGATTAAAAAAAAGGTATACGAGTCATCTCTCTGACCTGATGCACTGTCATCAGGGGTGTGTTGTACTCGGAGTCGTCAGCCAGAGTCACACACACACACACACACACACACACACACACACACACATACACACATACACACCATCGATAGGATAAGCAAAAACGAAATGAATCCTCCGCTGAAACGTGGAAATATACATTGCCACTTTTTGATTTGCTCATTCTATCGATCCAAATAGCGTGCGGCGAGGTGCGGGTGCTGATACACCATAGCCTATTGAAGTGTGCTTGCATCTGAACTGTGTCTTGTTTTCCATACCATCGACCTTTATGTTGGGCGTTATGCGTCAGCGAGAGTCACTCTCTGTCTGCATGTAGGTGGAGTGAAAGCAGGTCCGATTATACATAACAATAATAATAATAACATAATAATAATAATAATAATAATAATAATAATAACAATAATAATAATAATAATAATAATAAAAATAATAATAATAATAATGCTAATAATAATAAT